ATTGGTCAAAAATGCCTACATTTGTACAAAATGATGGGTGTGACTTAACTAGGGTAAATGAGCCAAAATGCTATTATGTGAGGTTCATTTATGCTAGAGACCAAAGGATGATTGAAAATTGCATACGATGCATTAGGAACAAGTTACCTACTCATTAAGGATTAATATAATATGTTATTATGTGAGGTTTGTAGACATTAAAAATTTAATTAACAAATTAATGTCTATATTTAAGCTCAAATCAATCAGATAAATGAAATTGGGTTGAACCTAAATTTTGTAAGCCCAAATTATACAGTTCTAAATTTAATAGGCTTGACTTGGACTTAAATTCTACAACCCAAATAATACAAGCCCAAACATAATTAACCATCTTGCTAAATTAAAATGGACTTAAATTCCATGAGCCCAAATTAAAAATGGGTTAGACTTAAATTCCATAAACTAAAGTCCAAAAATTTATGGGTAGCCCATTACCTAAAGTACATATAAGGGTAATCAAGTAAAAGTATTTTTATATGGATAACTATCGCTTTTATATGGATAACTACTCCTAACACTATAAATAGAGGTCTAGGGGAGGGCCAAAGAGAAAAAAAGGAGAGAAGAAGCTAAGGAGGAAGGAAGGTCGGCGAAGCTCTGCTCGAAGTTCACTAAAGCCTTGCAAGTTCATCTTCGAGAAAAAGAACACACTGCCAAGGTCCTTCTTCAAGAAATTCAAATCATCTTCAACTCATTCAAAACGAAGAACGGTGAGGAGATTCATCAAATTGAAGAACGAGAGATACATTGATCTAGCTCTCGTATTCATCAAATCCACCAAAGCCACCTCCAATTGAAGAGCGAGAAATACGACAATCAGACCCTCATCTTCACCAAATTCATCATCTTCATCAAATTCATCAAAAATCAGAGGACAGTGCACGTGAAAAGCACGCCGAAGAGAGTCAACACTATATCTTTTATTTAAAGTCAATCAAATTGGCAATTATAACTTGACCTTATTTTGTGTAAACTTATTCACGTAATTTGTTGTTACAAATTTTGGCATGCTCGGTGGGACCCTATCTTCCTCTCATCTCTCAAGTCAAAAATCCAACTAGCTTGACAACAATGGCAACCAAAGACATCATGATTCCTCCTACCGACAAGTTAGGGGCCTGTATTTAGTTTACGCGGTTAGGGGCCACTACTTGTTGAAAAGTCTATCCATTGCTTTTTTTAGCATAGAAAAAATGGGTTCTGAAGCTAAAAAAAAAAAAAGAAGAGAAAATTAAAGTCACTTGGTTAGTATTATCAAGCATAAGTGAAGAAAGTACAAGGAAATTTTGTTTTGGACATAAATGAAGGAAAAGATATTTAATTGTGATGTTAGTACAGTTATATCATAAGCAAATAATAGGGCATCAATGTGTCATATATATATCTATATTATAAAATAGAACGAAGTTTAAATTCAAAGATAAAGAGAGTTTGAATGTAAATTCTATCGAACATTAGAAACTTAGATTTAAATCACATTATTATGCTAGTAAATTAGATCAAATTTTTAGATTGAAATAAAATTACCCATATAATAAATCATAAATTATATTATCTACATGATGAACATGAGTCGAAATTTGATTTGGAAACTTGAACACAAGGTTAAGCTCGATCGGTTTGATTAAATAAACTGAGATGAAACTTGAGATAAAAATCAACACTCGAATGCATGTTGAGTGTGTTTTGTCAGTCTTCGTCGCTGTTCTGATGTGACTTGAGAAAATCTTACGCGGAGTCCCAAAAAATTTAAAACCAAAAAAAAATTATAATTACAATTCAATCCATAACATTATTAGAAACAAAAAAATAAAAAATTTAAAAAAAAAAATAAAAAAAATCAACTAATATTTACTCACATCCCTCTCACTTAAAAAAAAATTAAAATATTTTTTAATTTTTTAAAAATAATATTAAAAATAAAAAAATCTTATTTAATATTACCATTTTAAATCTCAAATTACTGTGAACCACCCTGCTTCTCTATATATCCATTCATTTTTTTTTTTTTTGTAGGAACTGGGGAGTGAGGTAGACACCGCAAGTAGCTTGTAGCTCGTTGGTTTATTTCAACATGGAAAAAAGCCATGAGATCACTGAGGAAAAGGTTATGCAGAAGAAGAAGCCATTCAAGTTTGTTTGGGGAAGGATGAATTATACAAGGAGAATGGCGATGAACAAATGGAAGGGTCATCTTCTTCCTTGCTGCACAATCGGGCTAGAGTATGTATATGCTATCCCTTATTTTTACTTACTTCTCTGCTGTATGTACCCGGTGCCGGTGGTGCCTTCAAATTAACCTAACTGAGTTTTGAGAATTTTTATACACATTTACTTATATTTTCGTTCCTAAATTCTATTGTGGGTGCCTCTCTCTCTCTCTCTCTCTCTCTCTCTCTCTCCAGATTAATGGCAAATGAATGAAGTATTTGATTTCATTCGAAATCTCTTAGATGCCTTTGCAGACTTCTTTTTGTCCTAATACAGCCTATCCATTTACATTTCCATCCGACTTAATGTCTAAACCAAATGTTTTTTGAGATTATGGAAAAAGTGTATAGTGGCTTCCTCCTCCTCCTCTCTCTCTCTCTCTCTTGAAGAGGTTCACCAGGAGGGGAGAGAGAGAGAGAGAGGAAGCCACTATACACTTTTAGTTACTTCCCTGCTGTATATATAAACCGGGCTGCCTTCAAACCTGCAACATCACTCGGTCCCTTGGACATTTTTTTTTGGCTTTCTGTTTTCTTTAGAGCCTGTGGAGTGTGGAGAGTCTGGGGACTCGTATTCTGAGTTTAAAGATTATTCGTGCTTTCAGAGTTTGGATCTTTGTTAGTTTACGAAGGTCACTCGGCTCAGAGAAACTAGGGTTTCCTTATCCTTGTTTGCTTAAGGAGAAAGAAGGAATCAGTAGTGGACGTAGGGCCTACGCTTAAAATTCAGTTTCTTTTATGAGTTTATTATTATTTTTATTTTAACTTTAACTTTTTTAACGTAGGGCCTACGCTTAAAATTCAGTTTCTTTTATGAGTTTATTATTATTTTTATTTTAACTTTTATGAGTTTATTGTATTTTTGTGGATGAAAGAATTTAGATGAGCTTGGGTTCAATCATATGCACACCGCCACCACCCCCGCTTGGCTTCAAGGATGGGTGCGATCTAAACTTATTTTTTGATTTTTTTGGGTAAAATTTATTTATTAAATTGATTTTTTATTTCTTACTCAATTTCCCGTTTAAATTTAAATTTTTGCCGATTGGGTTTATATGTTGTTGTTCAGTAATTGCCGATTAGGTGTGAAGGGATTGGAATTCTTTCACCATAGGGTATGATAGACATATCTTATGGATTGGTAACTTAGCTTTTTAAAATATTTTTTGAGCATAATTAAATATATATATATATATATCAAGCAAAGAACTTATAATTATGGTGACAAGAAAATTCTTATAGTCCTTAATTCACTTACATTTCTTAAATTTGTAATCTAAAACAATTTCCTTTTCTTTTGTGTGATAGTGGAAGCAAGCAAAAGTTCACATCATCTCCTTCAAGCGATAAAGTATTCAAATTTCTGTTGCCATTGCTAATTGGCCTCGTTGCCATCAAGTGTCAAGCCAAAGGGAAGGATCCATTTGAAGCTCACCCTATAATCATGTCGTGTTTATGCATAGCCATATGCATCTACGGCCTCGCAAGGGGAATAAGAAATCAAGTTCAGACCCATGACTTGCAAATCTTAGACTATGTTATGCTCGTCTCTGGTACTCTTTCATCGGTCTCACTATTATCGATTCTCTTTCCACGCTTCCCTGAACTACTCATTTTGATTTTACCGGTATTTTTGCCAATAATATTAATGCAAAATAAATTGAAGCAGGGATGTTACTGGCTTTACAACCGAGTAACCAATGTGGTTACCCATATTCGCGATTGGTTCACCCCACGTAAGGCCACAGAGCAGCCAAATCTACCAGTATAGTAATCCTGTCTGATTTGAAGAAGTTTAATTAGCATGACCACTCTTGAACTGTTCTGTTACTCGCTAGAGAGATAGATATGTAATTTTATTCTTATCTGTGTTTGTATTGAGCTTCATACAGCGGGGGAAACTGGTGAACAAATTCTCTATTAAAGGAAAGTTTGGATGCTTTGTAAAAATTCTCCATTTCAATTGCTGGTGTTGGATTTTGGGCCGTAAATCCATGAGTGTGCTAGACCCAAGTAATTAGGAGCAGTCCCAATTGGATTCACTTTCCTTACTTTGTTTAAAATGTATATTGAGATTAATAGGTAATTATAGTTAAAATATAAATTTATTGTAATTAAAGATTAAAATGTAAGTAATATGATAAATCTTCAAATTTAAACGATAGCACACTTTGTTTATTAGAGCATATTCAATCCCGAGTGAAATCCTTATTTAAATTTAAATTTTAGTAAAAATAAGTTAAAAATAATCTCCAATTATTTACTCAAATTTATATTAAATAAAGAGAGTCAAATTTTTACTAAAATCAAAAGAAACTCAAATTTTTACTCAAATTGAGAAAGATTCAATCGTTAATCTAATTTTTAATGGTTAGATTTTATCATTTTTTAAAGATCCAATAATTATATTTTACGCTAATTAAATTTGGGTTCGCCCTCATTTTAATTTAAATTTGTACTCTTTTAAATTTGAATTTCTTTATTGAAATATTTGTATAAAATCAAAAATTTTACTTAAATATGCATGAGTGAAATGGCCCATTGCAAACACTACTTTGCCCAAACAAATATGCATAAAAGAGTTGAGC